ATTGATCAAACCATAGCGTGATAATGATATTACAAATAACAATAAAAAAGGTAGCGTATAACATCATTGGCACTGATTTATCATATCAAAAATACTAAGATTAGCCTAATTAGGAAAAGCTTGATAATTTATAAAAATATAAAAAACTCTCTCAAGATGAAATAAACAGTTATTATTATGATATAATTGTGAACTGTTTACGCACGTATGAAAAATTTAGAAGCTGTCGCATGCCTCAAACAGCTTTGAAATGTCAAAAGCCTTTATGAAATACCTAACAAATGTTCCTTTACCAAATAATGAGGTTAATCACACTTCATAATAACGATGTTCCATGTTCTATGCTAACCTTGCAACTACTTCATCCAGTCTGATGGCTACGATTATACACTGTCCAGCATCGTAATTCTTACTATAACAAGCTTTTGCAAAGGACAACGAGGTCAATTTTAGACCACACATTTTAACAAATTTTACACAGATCCTCCACTGAATGTAGGCATTGGGTATAAATCCACGTTTAAGAAGACCAAAGATACAGAAATTCCTTAAAGTTTCACTGGGAAACTTGACAGGTATGTAGTTAAAGTCGATTGCCGTGTTTCAATTTTTTTGGCCATCTTCTCATGAAAACAGCCTTTAATTTTGGGGTGGGGTTTAAAGCTTGTGCACTTTTGGCTTATAAGCTTCCATCAGCTTCAAAACCTTGTTTATTAACTTGTTAATTATACTAGTTTCATCATAGTGGGTTTGGTATAAAGTCTCTTTCGTAACCATAGTCTTCTCTTTGTAGTGTTGTTTCGAATTGGATTGGTGTATGTTTTTAGAGCTCGTTAATAGTATTTGCTTTCCTGGATAAGATTAATAACTCCCTTCTTCGAAATATTGATCCTTTAGTTCTACATCATTTCAAAATCTCGCTGTATGAATATCCTTCATGAATGTGTCACATTTTTCAATACTGTACTGTTGAAAGGTCAAGAATTATACAGAAAAACAGGTGAAGGTGTTAAATATGTCACTTTTTGTATCTAAATAATGTAACACTGTATTAACATATACAGATCGTTCATATAAAGTGCGATTATCCCTCTATATACAAGCTTTTTTTGTAAAGTTAAACGAACTCATGTCTAGAAAGAAATTATTAATACTTCTGAATGCTAATTACAAAAAAGAATAAGAACGACAGAACATAGAGACTTATTTCCAATATCATCAAATGAAACATTAAATCTCACAAATCCGTAACAAGTTATTTTTATCTGTAGGAATATAATAATAAATTATTTACCTTCAAAAGAAGATAAAATAATTAATCATCCCTCATATACTACGACCCAAATACTTTTTTTTACTTCTGCTGCTTTTTTGCTTGTTATTGTTTCTTATTATAGCTTTTGGTTTGTTTGTTAATACATTTGGGTTAATTTATATAATTTTTCTTTTGTTTTTTATCATTGAAGTTATTTTTATTTAATTAAATTTCCATTATTTCTGCGACAAGAAGGACGAATAACTCAATATTTATCGTGCACATGTATTTAAAAACGTTAACGGCTTTATTTACATAATATAATAATGTTGCCAAGATACCAGCTGAATTTGATTTATTTGTACTTTTCAACTTGAACGGCACCTTTAAAGATAGCAGAGTCAAACGGTTAGGTCAGAAACACCATAGTTCTAGTATAGCATTTAGAACTACTGACCAAAGAAATTTAAATCAGTCAGCAACACCTGCCGCCTACATAGCTACTTTTTAACTGCCAGATTTACCAGATGCCAGATTTAACTAGAAACAAGTTGTTTTGAGAAAATAAATGACTCGTGATGTCATTCACACGTGACACCGAAATATATTTCACTTATCCACTTCTTCTGTCTTGGAAGAAGTTACTCCCTTTGTACATTATCAATTATCAAGAACTTTTGATTAAAATGTGCCTCTACTGTCCCTTCGCTAGTATTCAGTAATTTACGTAGGTAGGTTGTATATTTGAATATATTTTTACTTGTAGTTCTTATTAATTTTCTAAGAATAGAAATATATAATTATTTACAGTTTTTTTTTTTGAATTTTGACTAGTACAATTAGACGTTTGTGTCAGAAATTGAGTAGTCATTTATCTTGAAGAAAGTTTTATTTGAAATGTTGATTTTTGAACATAATCTCTTTCGTTGTGGTGTTTTGAAAAATATTTTTCAGTAGTGATTAGGAAACGATTACTTATAACAGAAAATCTAGTTGTGGAGCCATAGAGTTGTTGAACAATTTGTATGTATTACTTATACACTAAAAATAGTCTACTAATTTCTCTGTTAAATCTTGATTATTTTTACAGTTTCGTAAAATATGTTTTATCTCGGCATTTATTTTATTTATTTGTTTGTTTATTTATTTATTGGTAGCTTGCGCTTATAGAAACAAATCTATTTTGTTAAAGTCCTCATAATATAAACACACATACCACTAGCTAAAGTCAGTGAGATGTCATCCAGGTCACTTACAATAATGCTGTCCACAGTGACAAGGGTAACAATGCAGTTTTTAGTTACGTCCGAAAATACTCATTTGTGCTGTGAAGAAAAGTGTGGAGAATGACCCGACGTCCAAACCGCTACTGTTGTAGGACAGGTGTAAGTGTGCTCCAATATCATCATAAGGTATCTTAATGGCAGGGGATACAACGGTATAGTATCTTGACAGATGTCATTTCTCAGTTTAGACAATATCGTACTTCGACAGTTGTAGTCATCAAAAAATACTATCTCACCCTTCCTGTCTTTTGGGACACTAATTTTTTTCCGATGAACTCATATTGGGTTTGGTAACTTTTTAACCATCTGCAAGTTGCAACAAAGTACGGCGGTATTTGTGTTATGGGGTGATACGCCACTTGGGCTGCTGAACGATCAGGTGATATGCAAAGGGATGGTTACTGCTGCTCGTAATATCACAATTTTCGACCAAGGCCTTCTACAATGCAGTTTTCATGCAAGATGGGGCTCCTACTCTTCAAATCGAATCACAAAACTATGATTTGAAGGTAGGAACATTACCAATTTCCTGTGGCCAGGTCGGTAAATCGCCGGATATGAACCCTTATTTACCGTTTCTTGTGAAAGCGTCTCAAGCAAGAACTTCTAGGAAGACCCTCATCCAAGTTCTTCGCCAGGAATGGGGTGCAATCTCACAGAAGTAGATTTCAGATTTTGTAAATACGATGCCCAACTGTGTTTCTGGCGGAAATATTACACTGAATCCACTCAATACTAAGGGTAATCTCACACTCTTCGTTTCATGTTTGTTTATTATAAAAGACGGAATTTTTGCTTTTTGCTAAGAAAATTTCCAAATTAAAGAAAACGCTTTCATTTAAATTTCCGCTCCCCAGTGGCACAGCGGTATATCTGCGGAGTTACTAGACTAGAAACCAGGTTTCGATACCCGTGGTGGGCAAAGCACAGATAGCCTATTGTATAGCTTCATGCATAACTTTAAACAAAGAAACAACTAATTTATTTCTATATTTTTACAGGAGAATTTATTAGGTATCTTTTATTGGTATTTTAAAAAACACATCTGGACAAGCATAATTTTATGATTTGGGTATGGTGAAATTTGTTAATACGACTTGCTATCTTTAAAGTCTTCCATTCTGTTGTAGTGTTCCACGTATCTGTTATACACTTACTGAGCTTTGTTTTATACAAGTGGTGAATATACCTACTAAGCTAAATTATATACAGTTAATGTGTGTACCTACAAAGTTATGTTATATAGAGGTGATATATATATATACATAGTTTGTAAGTTATGTTATATGCTTGCTAAATTAAGTTATATATAGGTGATACATATGTATGTTTGTGTATCTACTTAATATTTATTAACTTCCGATCAAAGTAAATTATGTTCTTAAAGCGAAACTAAAAATCACCCTGGCGGTCAGTATTGCCGATTAAGTATACTTTTCTTATGCTCCTACAGTACTTTTAACGATCAGAATGTATAATTTCATGAGGTGGGTACCTTCGTTGTTACCATAGTTTCAGTTATTCTGTTATATGCAGGTAATGTACTCACTAAGCTATATTATATACTACTGCAAGTGGCTCAGCGGTAAGTCTCTGTGCTTATAAAGTTAATAAAGTTGCTCATGGTGTATATATACTTATTAATACATGTTATAAGCAGGTAATGCGTGTCCTTTCTATGTTATTTTTATCAGTATTTCAAGAATAAAAGTTCGACATTGTTAAAACCTCGCAGTGGCCAAAATCTAAAAAATTTACAACTTTAACAAGCTTCGAAAGTTATGGTTTTCTTATTTTGATTAGGTAAGGCTTAATATAAGAAGTTTAGAATTTTGGGATAACATCGAGGAAAAAATGTTTAAAAAAATGATTACTTTATTTACGAAAATGTAGACAGAAATTTGTAAATTACATAATAACCTGCGTTTGTCGATGGTTAATTTATGCTAAAGTACATGGAATCGAGCTTTAGCTTCTAAATATCCAAGAGCTTAAGTTAATATTCCACGAACAATATTATTGCAATGAAATTCACCACAGTTTGTACCAAGCTTAAGACTAACACCGAAGAGTAATCGTTACATACAGTTTACCATTTGAATGTTCCAGCTAAAGAACTGAAAGCTTGTAAATCCATGAAAGTTAAGCTTTATTTTAAATTATACAATATAAAACTATAAATATGAATTATTTTAGCTTGTCGAAGAGTAACAAAATGCTCTGTGAAGTGATCAGTTGGATCAAGGAATTGTTTATGTTAGAGCAAAAGCCACATTGAGCTTTCTGCTGTGTCCACCACGGGGAATCGAGCCCCAAATCTTAGCTTTTAGTGGTCGATAATAAAACTTGATATGTTCATTTTGTGTTAAGATACAGGTGTCTAAAAGGTACACTTGTGACCGGTGGCTGAACTTAAGAGTTTGTTCGTAAAGTAATGTATACACTCTTGTAAGAAGAGCTAACATATGCATTTTATTTCATTCATTAATATTTACAAATCATTCAATAAGCAGTACAAGTTATTTTAATTTTTGGTATCTGTTAAACATAACTTATAATTAAAAAACAGATGAAAAATTGAGTAAAAGACAAGAATAAACCAGAACTTTAAGGGTATATAGTAACGATTCAAACCACTGAATGGCAGACATTGTTTGACATCGAGCTCTTTAAAACTGTATTCCAGTTATTACATTTTTTTAAACCACTTCCTGTATTAAAACCAACGACTTAAAATATCATGAAACATAATAATACGATAACACAAGTAAATATTATTTACAAAAACAAACACTGCAGTTTATGTACACACAAACTAATACGTTTAGGTGGTTAACCAATTAGAGTTCCTCACAATTAATATTCGAAAAAACTATCAATACGATTTAGAATAAAATGTTTTTATGATGTCACTGACTAAGCTAAACATCACGACCTCTGTTAACAAAAGTACAAAGATAGCTGGTTTAAATCTCGCATTTACTTCTTAATAGTACCCTACGCATTTTTACATTAACTTTTTCACTGCCTTGAGCACATATAGGAACACACTACACAATCGTTTTTAAGCCTTCAAAAGTACGAGTTTGGAATTTTATACCGAATTCGCGAAGAAAGAGTATTCCCCTTAAAACTTACAAAAGTTTACCACTTTCAAATGTCATATGTAATAAAATATCAAAACATTTGTCGTTTTTGTTATCGTCTAACAATAAACCTGGCACTGGTAGAGTCGTTTTTAAATGTGGCAATGAAAAAGTTACAACCTGGAATTAAAATTAGTAATATCTAGTATATATTTTTTGTTTAATTTACAGAATTTGAAAAAAAAACACAAACCACTAGTTTTAAATCCACCCAGATATTTATATTTTTTAATGCTTTGAGACAATTTTGACTTAAGATAGCGTCCAGACATTTACATTTTACAACAACAAAAAAGTTAAAATCGAAAAGCTTAACAATATACTTTTTACGCCTAGTTCAGAAAGTCAAAACACTTCTCCTCATGACCAACATATGTTTATAACCGTAATTTTACTCATACTACTTTATCTTTTATTTTCTATAAATTCAGTATTATTTTATCCCATATTTGGATATATATTCAGCATTATAACAAATAACGCATGAAATCACCGACATTTCAGCATTATTGACTGCTGTCAAAAGTCAAGTTGTGTTTTCACCGAGAAAAATGTTGCTATTATCCAGAAATTTGCCTAAGCCTACTTAATTTTCCCATAAATATATGTATATATAAATCTACCACTTTGTTTATAGGTGGCTTTAGTTGTTTGTTGTGAAACTTTACACTTCGTTTTCTTTCTTTCCCAAATTTTGCAATAATAATAATATTACACACTTTAATCACAAATGAAGAATGAAAGACCAGGCAATTTTTTAAAAATTTAGTGACACTAACATAATCTTAGAATCTATAAAATAAAAGCATTGAACAAAATCTTACAAAACGTATTTATATACAAAGGAACACTTTTATATATATATATATTGGTAAATTATAATTCTCTTAGTAGAATTTACACATTAAATTTCTTTTGGATTATTTTTGTTTCCCCTCAGAAAAGTCAAAAGTTTGTTCATGTAAGAAATATCTATAGATACGAAAGTGAAACGCTTAGACTGATATTTCTCAGTCGTAAATTTAATATTACATTAAGTATGTAGCATTGTCAGATTTTAAGATACCTTAAATATCACTGCCCTTCCACCTTCATCTTAATACTACATCCATGTATGAATCAAGTTAAAATAAACTACAAGTTAAACCCACAAAGAACTTCTACGTATAAACTTATTTTGATTTTTTTCTAATCTTAAGAACACCAAAGTTTCATGTAATTATTTTCATAAACATAGATATACTTTATTCTTTTTTTAGAGATTATTGTACTAGTCGGGTACTAGTCGCCAGATAGCAACATCATAACCAAATAATTTGTCTGTATTACAAATATGCTTTGTTTTGTACAGTGGTTATCCTAACACTCACAAGATGGCTGCACTTTTATCAACTGATGACATCAGAATGCCAATTTACATCATCCTATTTGAAAGTTTCACTCGATTGATGCTTTCTTTAGAAATTAGACGAATATTTTCCCAATACCTCTGTGTTACGACTACTCCACATTGCCGATAAATTTTTATGACAACGTTTCTGCGCATATAAATACATAATATTTATAAAATGTTTGAAGACAATTTCTATTGAATTTCTTGCTACCACATTCAAAACTAAACACTACAAGAGGCTGTCATGACCAAAATAAATAAGGTTGATTTGATATTTTAGATTAATAAAAATAATCCCTGATATAAAAATATACACATATATATATATATATATATCCTCTTCATTCAAGTAGAAACCTCATGGGCCTTTCTTTGGACTATGAAGTCACATTACACTTCCCACGAACAAAACAAGTGTAACAAAATTCAACCCTCCGTACCAATGAGCTTAAAGCCCAAGATAATAAACGACTAAAATCACATCACAGACAAAATCATTTCCAGGAAGGTTTCACTGAAGCTGACTAATCATTCACTGGTCATCATAGCAGTGTTATGTTCCTGAACAATCGATCTCCACTATATCTCTCGGAACGTCGACAAATTGGTACACCAATCTCTGACCATCAACTTTGGCCAAAATTCCTCGCTGATAGTAGTATCTTTAAGAAATAACAACAAATCATTTTTTTTTTCACTTTCTCAATAAAATATTCAATACCATTGGCATAACTACAGACGGAAAAGGAAAAACTGTTTAATATCAACTGAAGTTTTCTGTTTACTGCAAACTTTTTGTTCAGGGTTAGAAATTCTAATAACCACGATTGTATCACTACTATACTTCAAGAAAAACATTACCCAGACTACACATTTAAAACAAGTCTACTGTGATATGGTATATCAAAAACAAATAGCAGTACTAATTGAGTCCACGGAATCGAAAAGCACAAATATTACTGGTATTATTTCGTAAAAGAAAAGAATAAAAGTATAACACTCAAAACTTCCCCTGTAGGTAGAATAATTATCCTTTATCTTCTACAAAACATCTTTATGTTGATCCTTATTTCACAAAAATTACACTAATGTACCCTTCTAAAGACAAATTAAATGTCTTTATTATGGTTACTGTAATGAGATAACCATGATTTAATGAGTGTGAAATGGAGTTTTATTTATCAAATACTATCTTTTATTCAGAATGATAAAAAGAAAAACAGCGACGAATATGGACACAAACTCTTCCAGAAAGCACTCATTAGCCTTATGTTCAAAAGTCATGTCATTCAAGTGGTACATACCTCAGAGCACGACCCATAGTTTCGTAATTCATGTCTGGTTTGTTTTTATGAAGTCCCCAGAGCCTTGAAACTGCTTTGGAGTCTACGAGTTTGAAAATTCCTTTTTCTCGGTTTGTCCATTTGATGTAACGTGGACAATACTTGTTATCCTGAAGTAACTTTAACAGAAACTCCCACAGATATGTTGTAGAACCTGGAAAAATATGGATCAAGAAATTATGATGTTCTCAAGAAAGCTGATAGCTAAACACAAATGAAGCTTGCTTTAACCTTCAAACTAAGATTATTACGGAAAATGTTATTTAGAAATGAAAATGTCCTCTTGGAAATTTTAAAATTTATATATTAAAATAGTCAATAGATGGCGAAACAACAAATCTCCAAAAGTCCGTAAACTTACCACTGACCCTCCAGGGGACATCTCCTGTTGTTACTTTTGTTTTGTTATTTTATATGATATTATGTCAGCGCCAGAATCATTAATTCTTGAAGTTTATACAATCCATATAGTAGGTCAAATGTTTTATTTTTTATTTTATGGTACCATCTACTAATTTATTTCATATAGATGATTATATTCCGACCATTAACACTTGAAAGTTTAAAAATACACACACACACACAAGTAATAATAATAATACGTAAATATCGTTCAAGCAAGTATTTCTAAGAACTTGTGAATGAAAGTAAAGAAAAACATGTCACAATATTTCAAACACACTACATCTGCCATATCCAACATCGACGACGCCTTTCGCCCAATACCAGAGCTCATCAGGACGGTTGGAATACGACAGACGTTGTAGTTATCTAGGCCCCATTTATGTCATTAGTTTTCACGAATAACGACTGTTCTGGTAGAAAGTAACAGAACAGAAACCAATGCCACTCAGTTTCATTTTAGTAATGGTGATGCGGAATAAATGAGCCCTTCTATCAGTCAATATAATGTTGTTATTATTAATTAGAGAACTATACAAAGTTGCACGTAGTGATAGTAATCAACAGAAAAACAGTTTTGAATTTACCTTGTCGACTTTTCCTCTTAGTATACAATGTTGAATTAGTATCTGGATTCTTCAATCTCCTTGCTGATAAAATAACAAAAAGGAAGAGGTTGAAAATTTCACAATATTTGCTAGCATCAAACCTTTTAAGTTTGGTAAATATATTTATCCAAAGATGAGTATCTATTTTCCATGCATAAAAAAGTGTTGAAATTTATACGCATAATTTGACTAATTAGCCTTTGGTTTCATCATAACCAAATTGTTTGATTTTATAAGTCAGCTGTTTTAAAACGCACTCTATACCTATCAATTATTCTTTAGTGCTTATATTAATAAATTCAACCTCAACATGAAACCACATTATCGAATAAAACATCCCAAATGTTTATATACTAAAGTGAATGATTGTAGATTTTTTTTAAAGTCAATAAGTATGTTTTAATGTCAAATCTGTGATGTAGTGTGTATGAATAAATGTAATCAAAGTGTTTAAAAATGTAATATAATTACGTATATGCAACAACAAGCAATGTCGGAAACAATCCTAGACTACACCCAGAAAGAGAGAGAAAACTAAACATCTCAAATAATAAACTACCAATAAAATGATGTATTTACCTGGTGTTCATACGTGTTTGTTTGATAAAATATTTACTGTGATTGGATAGTCAAACATAATATTAACAAGATAAATAAAAAATTGGGAATTTAAAAATCTGCAAATAGATATCTTAAAAAAACAGTAAGCAAACAAGGCTGAAGATAATGTAGACATTTACTTAAACTACAAACCCCTATTTTGGTTTCATTCTGTTACCTAGAATTAAATTTGAAGTCAAAATATGGATTTTTAGTTTGAGGAAATAATGTCTACAGTATCTCCAGCCTTATTTTCTTACCTTTTTACTATCCCTGTTTACAGGTATTAAATTCCCAATTTTTTATTTATCTTATTTGCTGGCTATTTTATGCTCAACTATCGACAAAGGATTACTTGATATGATAGCTAACTTTATACATTGTACTGTCATGGAGAACTATAATGAGCATTTATAGATTCTGTGTAATTAAATGCTCTCTATATATAGTGCATAGCAATGGGCAAATTATACGCCTATACTAAGACACAACCCCCTCTAAGCACGTATAAAATTACCAGAAGAAAAGCAGCGTTTTCTATTTGATAATTTCTTTTGGCTTGTACATCTAGTGAGGCAATCTTTTACTAATTAAGTATGAGAATTTGAAATTACCAGGTTTGCAGATTACTTAAACTACACATAAAATATCATAATAAACGTATAGCCAAAGGCTTAATTCATCTTAAACAATATGAAAGTTACATTGTCTTAATATTTATATTGTTGTTATGTAATGTCTATTTAGTGTGTTTCAGAAACATGTATTCAAACAATAAGTAAATAGCACACACATGACAGAAGAAACGTTGTAAAAATCAAACCTTTACTCTTTTTTTTTTAAACAAGTTATTGGTACTATGTTTCTTTTACTTATTATTATTATTCATCTTCGCATCATAAATTACTGGTGTGAAAAGGGGCTAATTAGTTATTGCATAGATAACTGTTAACTTTAGTACATTAAGATATGGAACTAACAATGATGGTATACTGTATTATGAAATTAACGACGATGATACGTTATGAAACAGAAAAATGTGGTGTATTATTTTACGAAATTGACATCTATGGTATATTATGCTATGAAAATGGGAAGGATGATTTATTACGTGATGAAAGTTAGAGATATTTTACGTTTTGACAACCAATAATTTGTTACTAAGTCTTATATTTATACTTCAGATACTAAGCGTACCTTTCTTTTTTGGCTTTGGTTGGACAGAAAGGTCTTCAACGTAACAAGACGAGTCCAGGTCATCGCCTAAAGAAATGCTGCTGTAGGCTGCGGTAATAACTGAAGTGGGAATCGCTAACTGTCTTTCTGTTCCATTTCCTGGCGCCGAGTGAAGCTTATAGGATGAAGGAGAATTGCATAAGATGGGCCTGTTGAGGGCAACTGGTGACGAGTGTGACTGTAACTGACTTGTGCTGTTCACGGTGAAGTGCGAAGGTGATTGAGAGGCTGGAAATTCAGGATATTTTCCCGAATATTGTGAAGAGAAGGAAATGTGAGTAACCTTATGATCATCAGGACTGTGTGTAGTATATGATTTTTGATGTGAGGACAGATCCAGATATGGAGGGGTTGGTAGGGATCTGAAGTGATGCGACACGACTTCTGGAACTAAAATGGAGTAAAAACATTGTATAACACCAACAATCATAAAAACTAACAAATAACAAAGTTAAACATTGACAACCATGCATTCTCTCATGACCAAATGGTGTGGACCAAAATCTACCGCTTTCATCTTTCTACCTATTCCTGCTTGGAATTCTCGGAGTTGATACAAGGAACAGAGCAATGCGCAGATGACTTTCTTCCCAATAGAACCATTTATAGCATTAACATAACACTGCACTATGTTCTCAAGGTGTTTTTCGCATTTGCTACTGAAAGCCTATCAAGATCTCTGCGACAGAGATAATTCTTGAGAGCCATCACTGCATTTACTGCAACCCGGCTTCATACAAAATAATCACAGTTCGGAGTCGATTGTTCGTAGAGTAAATCCATGTTTAAGGGTCTGAGCGTATACTGGAATAGACAGACTCTGAACGATGTTCTAAACAAAGAACGATCATGAAATCCGAGAGGTCACGAACCTTTCTTTGTCTTATTTCACTATTGTTGTACCGCTGTTTCCTCACGCCATTGCTGCTTCTCTGTTTTGTCATCCATGTTAGGATCTCATCACCTTGACCTTCCTTAAACCCCCCTCTTCCGGCTCTATGTTGCTATATTTCTTTTAGGCATTTCCTAGAACTATTCACCTTTCATCACCTTTTTTTTTTGTATGTTTATCTTTGCAGTCACTAATGTTTATCATCATCACATCCATAATTGCTACATTTCTAACATGTATAGCACCTTGCATTTGCAATTGAGCTTTGGAGGACCAGACGTTTCAGAATATGAACTAGTAAGCTACACCCAAACAAAAGCAATAGGTCATATAAGCTGATAGCAGTAGCATTTCCATGATTGGCCACCATTGGACTCAACATGAGATAAGGTCTGTTCTGGTATAATTTCAGCAGAGTTGGTCTACTACGGGAATTAGGTGGTCAGGATTGACCTAGCAAAGTCGCTTTACTCAACTCAGAGATACAGTATTAAATATCAGAACTAAAACAATGGACAAAAATGTCGACTATGGTGGAAGAACAATTTTATTGTATTTGAGTAGCTTTTTTCGGAGTAATATGTCCTCCCGCCTAATTATATAATTCTTCAAACGTACACAAGTTAACCCAAAATATATACATTTTAATTAGAAATGCAACCAAGATAAGGCAAAAGTTACTATACACTTGGAGCTAAAGAAAATATTACGAAAACAATTTAAACCAATTTTATTATTATTATTTCTCTCAGAGTATGAAGTTAAAATTAAACTATATTTCAAGTGAAACAACTTTATATAGTAATTTTTGCCACACTCTGTATACATATATATGTAAATTCATATCATTTCGTCACGAGTTCCTGAAATTTTACCAACTGCACGAGTAACAAACGCATCTCTGCATACAAAAGGTTTGTGTTACACGTTGCCATGTGTACAAGTTCAGCGATCCTGTCGCATAGCAACCAATTAAACTTTCCTTACTGTTTTATGATGCAAGATCTTAAAATGCTCGCTAAACAACAATCTGCTGGTCTAATAGTCGTGGACTGTCTTATATAGCGATCCTGAGTTAATGAGCCAATCGTGTTTTGCTAGTGGTTGCTGATGAAAAGGAGACTGTACAGAAACTTCCCAGCAGTTTTCAAGATTGATGACTGGATACCCCCCCCCCCCGTTTATTACCTACTATCTTTCAATACGATATTTGTTCGAAAAACAAAACAACTGTTTGTGACCACAGGTTTTCTTGCGATGAAAAATTAGAAAACAGGATAATCAAACAATAAAAATAGGCCAAAAAGAAAATAGACTTAAAATGGAGCAATTCCTAATATGTGTATATATATATATATACTAACAAGTGTCAAACACTCCCACCAAATGTATATTTCGGAGGGTTAACGCCACCCGCACCCCCATTCCTCCGCCTATGAACAGTATTGAACAAAACATCTTGTACTGAACCAAAACACTAACTGAAGTTACTTGCATAAATAAAAAGAAAGGCAGCGATAATTTAAATAAAATATAAGCACGAATATTATGGTAAGAATTAAAGCCATAAATCAACGTACTCAATGTAAAAAACGATGCACTGAAACGAATAAAGTAGTAAATATACTTGTCACTAGATAGCGCTAGTCTAAAATACATGAAGCTAACAGTAACCTTGAAAGTGTATTGACTTCGGCACCAAGATAGCTCAGTTCATAAGCCATTTCCCTCTGAAAGGCAGGTGTACCAGGAGATTCGTGGTACTGACGATTTATTGTCTGTTTCGAAACGAAAAATGCAAACGAGGGCGTGACAAGTGGATCTCTGCTTGAAGGGGAAATAGCATTGCGTCATCTCACTTGAACCTTCTTCCCGTTCGAGTAAAAGCGGAAACGTGGCGGGACCACCAAGAAATGATAACAGTTTTCGATAAACTCCCCGTGTTACTAAGTGATGTGTTAAGATAAAACGCGTTTCTATCAAAATATTTCAATAGTGGGGGGAGTGTCTATAAAACTAAAATCTCTGACTGACAATCTCAAGTTTACCTTAACTGTATAGAAAAACATATCTAGGTTATTTTTAATTTTATTTCAGTGTGCTTCGAACTGCTACTTGCATAATACTGAAAAACCACATTTTAGGTCCTTTCCGCCTGAAACAGCATAGAACATACAAGTTCAGTAACATGTTTTATTTTATCCAGCTCTTTTGGCAGAGCCGAGTATAAAAATCAGGGTAGTACAGGCGTTCTTCACATATGCGCTATACATATTAAGCCATACCGTTGCGGTAAGTATCCAATATCATGGAAACTTTGTCTGTCTGTGGACACATCTTCTCCTAAACGAGTTAACTGACCCTGACCAAACTTGGCATGCTAACTTAGTAGTCCAAAAAACAAACCAAATTTATATTAAATTTCCCATATATTGAGAAATAAAAATATTTTATAGAATAACCCCTTATATGCTGCAGTAACTATTGTAAAATAGTTGAATTTGAAAAAAACTCGCACCACATCAAAATTCTACAAGTCAAAGACTGTAAATAAAATTTTCAGCATTTTGGCTTATTTTCCATAATATACAGTAATAAAAAATCCAGCTGCACTGCGGAAAATAAAGATACTGTTGCTGTTTCAGCTTCCCACTATTTTCTTATTGTACTGGACATCAGAATCTAACTGAAACTATGGGATTATCTTTTTGTTTTTATTTTAATTGCTAAAACTGTCAGAATAATGAATTTTTCGCTTTCACTTAGCAATATTTGAATATTTAATAACCATAAACAAAAATGATTTAAACAGAAAAACTATACGTACAGATAAGTTAATGTGTGTATATATATGCCTAATTGCGGAAGTACTTGCTTACAAAGAAGGAAGTAAACTGTTCGTACGTTTCAAACGCCAGTATATTACTCGGAACTACTTCCGGTGGTGCTTCTGCGATGAAAACAAAACAGATACGAGTACAATTACCATTACTTAGTAGTCTTTGTTTTAGATAATTCACTGTGAAAAAAGGTTTTGCAGTAAAATATAAAATTGTATACTTACTTGTTCTTTTAGATAAGGTATTGTTTATTTGTTTCTTTAAATAAAAATGGTTTGTTATCTGTCAATATATTTGTACACAGAGTTTGTTTCAATATTGTTAATGTCTCTTAGCAACTTGTTCTTTACAATATTCTACCAATAAAACTATCTGTACGTTGTACTTGAAGCACACCTTTTGAAGGCTTAACGCTTGTGAAATAAAAAAAAAAGCGTAGTGAGCTAAAATATTTCTGTTTATTCTGAACTACTTATACCAGTTTAAAAATAAACTTATGCTAATAGATTGTTCACGACTAAAACATAAATTATATAATAAGTTCAAGTGCTAATCTTGTTTGTCCATTACAAGCACCCCCTATACACCGGAAACGACTGTCAGGTGTGACGTGCTGGGATTGTAAGGTCAAGATTATGATGTCAATGGTCTGAAAAGAACAAAGGCCCCGGATGTCTGATTGGAGCCAGGGCGGAAACCCGTCGCCTAGAGCTTTAAGACGCCGTTTCAAGTGTTACCAGCCACACGTAAAAATATAACCAGTTTTTTTTTTTATTTATATTTTGTTTTAAAAATGTTGGGTTACGTTAAAGGGTAACAGTATTCTTTGGAAATCATGTTTACCATTGATATCGTGTGTGATATCATGATTCTGCAGCAAGGAAAGTTCTGGTTAAAAAAGAACCAACCAAAAGAAAAAAATATGTAACATATCTCGTTAATTACAAATAATAAAATAACACAGAATATCTCCATTTATTTTTATGCAATGTGAAAACAAATCAAGTCTCAATCAATTATAATTTGGGGAGATCAACAGGTAAGGGTATTAAAAACCGCTTATAACGGATATTATTGTTAATAATGTTCAAAAATCTTCGACCCAACAAAAGCCAGGATACCAACAAATTCAACAAAAGTAGTCTTGGGAAATTTTATTGAGTTAAATCGAGTTAACGTTACGAAACTTGTCTACTTTTGCACTTTTCATTTACGCAAATATTTTAGATATTAATTTGAAGCATATGTTTCACTGAACTTAGTTATATACCATACAAACAAAGTGCCTGTACCGACTTGCATGCCAACAGCAGCGAAACGTTTCATAGAATATTAGCGTGCTTGATTTGTCAGTAATCAAAGTTTGTCTGTTTTCTACCTTAGTACACACAGTATTTTGTCTTAAAACAGAAAGATTCGATAAAACTACATACATTATCTAAATCAAACAATATGTAATTTTACGTAGCCATGGGAATTACTCAAACTGGTCACATTTTATCATATCCCTGTAGCTCTGTTAATTGTATTATCTAATAATAGATAGAAATTACCTACCGAAATGGTTACTTTTTATCATTTCCCTGTAGCTCTGTTAATTGTACTATCCATGAACAGATGGGAATTTCCTACAGAACTGTTCACTTTTTTTTAAAATCATAATCTAATTGTGCCTAAGCTAACCAATCACATACAAAAACTACTGAACACACAGGTTTAACTACAGGAAACACAGATCTGGAACTTCTGATTCAAGTCTTCTTATTAAATAAAATCTCTCTAGCCTAAGTATTTGAGCTTGTTTTATTTTATCTTTTTAAGTAGTTACATAGGTACAGTTATGCTTATTTATTTACCATACGTTTATATCCGTAACTGCCCCTCCATGGCTCAGCTCTAACGCTGGGGGCTTATAACGTTGAAAAATTGGTTCCGATACCTACTGTGGGCAAAGCACAGATAATCCATTGTGTAGCTTTAGACTTACTAACAAATAAACACAATATCCTGGAAATAGAACTTGTAGACTCCGAAACGTTCAATAAATATACCATTGTTTTGTCACATCTGTGGTTGTGGTACATTATTAGACTATACTACGTTTTCTACCTAATAATCTATCTTTTTTTTGTATTATTTTACTAATTAAAACAAAAGTAAGAAAGAAGAATAAGCTTAGCTTAAGAGTTCTAAGAGTACTGTATAATATTCAATGAAACTGCTGATAAAACAAATCTTTACATGATCTTAGTGAAAACTGAGTTCACACATATATTAAGAAACTAATTTAAGATCGAATTTTCATTGACATTTTTCACTTTGGTACACACGTTTCTTAAGTTTTGTTAGGGTCGGCTGTTGATTTTTTATTACTCCAGTGGTAACTGTTGCGTATCAAGTACATCAACATAGGTAAGTAGGCATGAACTATTCGCTCTACTGAAATAAACACTTGTTTTGCCAGCAGTGTCGGCTCCATGCAAGTCGGCTTCACTTCGCCTCACTGCGGTTAGAAGAGAAAATGAAACACATAAAAGGAAACGAGGAGGCGGCGCCGGTCGTGAAACTGGATTTCAATGCCAGTGAGTTACTAGTGGTTCATAGACATCCTGACTTTCCTTGCACGTGAAGGTCAAAACCAAACAGCTAGTCGAACCACTATCACAGTCTTGGGTTTTACGTTAGAGCGCGTGTAGCTTTCTGCCAATGAGAAAGTGTGCACAAAAAAAAAGCATGAGCAGCGTAAGAATTAAAGACGTTCTCAAGTGTTGAAAGGCTGATAAAACAAGTTCGAAACTAGCAAAACACGTTTAAGAAAAATGATGGTTATTTACTTCATCAAAATTACTTGGATGTAACATAATATCACAGAATAAAACAGATTTACATCAGGGATAATTTTCACTAACGTCAAGTTTATGTCGCATATCTTCCAGAATAGATTTCAGGTTATTCACCTTTAATTTTACGGTGTGTGTATTATTGGGTTTCTCATTATTCCACAAAATTACAGGTTTGGTACAATGAATTTGTTTGACGACACAATACGAGTTTAAATTTGGTGACAAGGAACAAACACTTTGAGATAATAAAGTTTATAGACGACTTGAATGGGTAATGAAGAAAACTTTATTACAAGTTTAACAGAATACCAAATATACAACGTTTCAACAAGATTTTGTCATCATTTATTATCTATACGTGTTCACAAAGTTCTACTTTAACAAAAGTTACTTGAGTAACTTCAAGGTGTTACATATTTTATTTTTATCTTTAAGAAGATAAGTGTTGGGTCGGCCCTCTAGGCCTACTTTGGTGTAGGTTGGTTATACACACTGACAGCTATATACATATCAAAAGTACGGTAGTACTTATAGTAGGAATAGGCCAGATGTGCAATACAAATTAAAGTCTCACACACTACAAACAGCATGTAAACAAAACTTTATAAGCACTTTATACGCACTGTTGAGTGATAAACAAACCAACAAGCCACCAAAGTACTTGAGGAAGTCGGTAGAGTAAAAACAAAAATTCCACAAACCGTCAATCTCACTGATTAACGCTGTTGGAAAGACATAACTGTCCCCTGCCTTCACCTTATGCAAATCTAAATGTACATGACTGAATTACAGTACGTTGGCTAAAAGTGTTTTTCTTAGATTAACTTATGACCTTAGTAATAACTAGAAGAGCACTCGGTAGAGCGCATACCTCCGCCATGCAGCGTTTTCCGTATAGCCGTCCTTATCAACTGATACGAACCATTTTTTTTTGCAGGACAATGTGGAATAATAGTCTACATATGTCCATCAAGTTTAATCAAAATCCGATATTTTTTGATTGAGTAATAGATCAAAAATAGTGTGAAAGATCGGTCCCGATGTTAACAGATAAGGGTTATTTCTACATATTCGTGACCTTGCTGTGACCTAAACTAATCACTTCTAAGTTGGATGATAGTCCAAATGTATACCAACTTTAGTCCAATTCCATTTAGCGGTTTTCGAGAAATCCCGCTGACACACAAACACATATAGGGGTGAAAACATAACCTCCATCACCTTCGATGGCGGAGGTAACAATGACCATTTTTAAATAAAAAAAAATTAGGAAGTATGAGTGGGAACAAAACTTTACAACACTTGCAACAGCAAAGTGGGTGTGGCCATTGTTCCGCCCGTTCTTACTTGGTGTTTTACTTTGAACTTTAATCCAATTATAGACTTGAACAGAGTTTTATCACTGGCTAATCCTTTCTAAACACTCAAGAAATTTCAAACTTTCAAAAATTAGTGGTTTTGATACTATTCTGTTGGCCAATCCCTTACAAGTCAGATAGCTATAATGTCTCCCATAAGCAAAGTATTATTGGAGCTTCTTGTCAAAAAACACCAAGTGTTGTAATGTTGACCCGCTCATTCCCACCCGGTTTCCTTACGTTTTGGTGCTCATATTCCTAATTTTTTTTATTTAAAAATATTTTACACTTGTGTGTGTGTATACACACACAGAGATCAGTGTTGGGACACCCCTCATGACGTACTTTCAATATATGTAGGACATCCTACATACTATTTATAAGTAACTTACATGTTCTGCTTGGATGGGGCTAACGTTATATATGTAACTATGTGCAAGTATTTATATGCGGCTTCTGTTTATCTACGTAAATAATAAATCAACAATGAAAACGATACAATCTGACAGGTGACACTTGTTCTGCATTTTTAAATACATTTAAGTCAAATGCCTAATCAGTTTGAGAAAAATATATTATAATTAAGAAACTATTATGTGAAAGAACAATAATACTCATTCCCTTTAAATTTTCATTTCTTTTGAATAATTCGGAGACACTTCACATCATACAATCTCTCTTTTTTCTTCTGATAAATTGCGCACTTTCATTTTTGTTTTACATCTTAGTTCCATTACAAAAATACGAAGATTACATTCCACACGAGACCAGCACTTTAGACGAATTATTCACAAAAACATTCATACCCCGCGGTCTAAGAAAATTTGATGCAATAGACTTATATGAATGATAAGTATATGCTCCTACACTAGGGTGTCGACAAATATGGGTGTCGTGGCGCCAAAGAAATCATGTTTAGCAACATGGTGAATTTCTGACCACTTGACAGCGCAATGCCTTCAACCATGGAGGTACGGCTAGTGGCAATAAAGGGTTTATCCGAATAAAACTGTTCGTACAGAAAACCTGTGTCCAAAAGTCGGACTAATATTACAGTTTCTTAATAATTTAAATCCAAACCAAACTCTAAACTTATAAGCATATTACCTATAAACAAAATATTAATGGTGGAGATTCAATCAAACTAAGCTCTGCCTTCTTTTAGCTAGAGGAACCAATAGTACAGATACGAAGGCAAAATGGTGGAATTTGTAGTTAACCCTGGGCCAATGCAAAAACCAACGGGGAAAAATTGAATGAAAAAATCTACACAATATAAGTTTCTTACTATTTTCACACAGTAAATAAACACACTTATATTGATATAAAATGTTATATTCTATGTAACACTAAGATAACAAGCGAGAACTGAGGGACGGAAGGACTCTTAGGTTGTGTAGTACAAAATCAAAGTGACTCGCAGGCTGTGTATACGTATGTATGATTAATTATCATTAACTTCTGATTAAAGCAAGCTACCCACAACTAATACTAGCCCTAGATCTAGGCTGTCTGCATTTACAGTTTATTCTGGACAAACTTCAAGGTATCGATAAACTGCACGTTGTCATGATAAAAGTGTTATCTTTCTGTCCACCGATATTATTATAAGAGATAAACAAACATTTTAAGCTTAGTTCAAGTGTATTTATTGACGTGTTAAACTATAGTTCACCATGCACGATCTTAAAAGTTTAAGATGTTGTAATACTTATAAACTATACCGAAATGATACGACACTGAAAAAAATAAAAGTAACAAAAAATTAACAAATTCAAAATATGAAATGCTGACTTACTTTCTGAATAGGAATTCTTGAGTTGAGTCTGATAAGATTGAAGCGTCATCTGGCTGACAGGTTGATAGTACTGTATATTTCTGGGTGTTGGCGACTCTGATATTCTTGGAGTCACTATATTTAACGAAAAAAATATTTTATTCAACAAAGTGCTTCCTCTAAAAATATTATCAGAATACCTTACATTGCAAATCACACTAAACATATAATTAATTAGAAAGAAAAAATTAAATTCATACTAATAAAACAGAGAGGATTCTAAATCAAAATTTCGTCACCAGATCTTGCTGAATAAAGTTACATATATGACACGTTTAGTTGCATATTACGCTGACGTCTACAAATGGAGACAGATAGTAGCCTAGCCCTAACTAATAATCGATTGGTAAAATAAGTTAAAATTAATATTATTTAACAGATTCCCGAAATTTCCAGCCATATAAATCTACTTTGTGTCCATATATATTTTACTTCTCTTATTACTTTAATAACACCTTAAAGGTCGTCGGCAATTTTTTACGTATTATTTGATTCAACTAGGTTGAAGGTTTGTTTCCAATTAAGCACAAAGCTATACAATGGGCTATCTGTGCTCTGCCCACCACGGGTATCGAAACCCGGATTCTAGCGTTGTAAGTCCGCAGACATACCGCTGTGCCACTGGGGGCCCAACTAGGTAGAAATTGTACATAGTTTTTAACGTTCGGATTACTAGCTTCTCTGCTTGTGATTGTGCTCAGAAAACTTGAATAAAAATTAATGAATTTAAAAATAATGCTTTTGGAACAACCTTCATTAACAAATCAAATATAAAAAAATAAAGATCCTCCTCTTTTTTTCGAAAGGTAGTGTTGTTTCAAATTAAAATGTGAGGCTATTGATTTTCAACCATTTTTAACAGGTCTAGCGGATTTACGGGCTATATTTAAGTTTTTCTTTTTATTAAAGGTGAAAAACTAAAGGCACAAAATTATTTGAATTAAACAAATTAACGTGATCGCCACTTTTGCAACATTTAGTAATAAGAGAATGTATATCACACCCAGTATTACAAATTCATATTGCGCATGACCAAAAATCCTAATGCGCATGATGAAACTAGTCGACTCGCGTAATCATACGCAGTACTAATAGTAATAACAACGTATGGTTAAACTAACTGTCGAAGCTTCCGCATGTTTTTTTTTCTTCAAGTTTACTCTGGATGTCTTTTTCCTACGAAAACTTTCGATTGCTATTTGTTTATATCAAGGTTAGATTTAGTTAGAAGAACTGATGGATTAGTTTTGAGGTAACTTTGGGCTATAAACGTGGCAACACTACTGATAACGCATCTACAGTTGAAAGGCTAACCCTATATTACCTCCAACTAGTAGTTTATGGGAGTAGTGAAATGTGAACAGAAAAAAAAAGTATGGTGAAGGAAAGGGGGTGGATATTACCTACCAAATAAATGCCACACACCACTAAATCGATCAATTTGTTTTAATATATGGACAAAAAAATATATAATCAAAGTACCTGATATAGGCTGTAACCTTATTTTATAGTCTTCCGTGCTGAAATGACCATTACTGCTGTCCACGTCTGAAACTCCGCTGTCCGCTGGACTTGGTGGTAAGGAACCTAACACACATACACACACAAAAATTAGAGTTAGTAAACCATGAAATAATCTCTGAACGAACAAGCGCCGAGCATTTGACTCTAAACTGGAACTAGTATCAAACATCATATGGCTAACAAGAACAATGTTTTGTAGGTTAATATAAGGATAAACTACAACAATAACTCAAATAAAGATAAAAATTATGAAGTAACATCGAATTCAGTTTTATTGGCAGAATCTATACTATAAACGGACTAGTGCTTATCTGTTAGTGATGGAAATTCCCCAACTTCTGGAACTATGATTACTATAAACTTCCAGGGGTTCTTGAGTATGACCCAGATCTCCAGGACATATAGAAAGTTTAGTATGAAGAAGCTGTCCAGTAGCGGTGATTTTCTAAAACATTTTATGCCAGTATTTAGTAGACAAGCATGGCGAATAACGAAAGCTGTCTCGTCGTCTTCGAGAAGCCAACGAATTAAAAGCTGCATGTGATGTGGGGATCTTTTTTACGGTATTCTTTTCTCATGGGTAAGAACTGTCGGGTCATTTTCTGGGATCTGTGGTACTAGGAGAACCTTGACGTAATGCAATCAGAGAAACACGCTTTCCAGTTCGAAATATACCTCCCATAATGTTTATTAGACGTCTTGGTAAGTGTTGTTGTTTGTTATAAACAACGTGAAAACTTTCACAAACACAGCAGATCACACAATTTAGTAAACAAAACAAAAAACTGCCTGTCAGTCAGAAATACAAGGTGATTGAATTTTTAAATATATACTGCACACACACACAATATATATATATATATATATATATTATATACACACATATGTACACACCAAATATTTCGTATTTACAATGCTTTGCGAATAAGTCACCTAAGCAAAATGACAAGCATGATACAGGACTGTTGTATTGGATAAAAATTGTAAGTAGAACATAGCAATGCAACTATAAACCCACATGTACCTACCTTTAATTACTCGTCATGCACACACATACTAATTAATAACGTACAATAGGATGTAATAAAAGTAGTAACATATATAGGATATCTTCTTTGCGTGTCTAAGTATAGAAGAAGAAACTGAGCTGTCTGTGATACAAAACAATATTTCCACTTATGCTAAACAGTATTTGGAATAAAAGAGATATGAAATGGAACTGTGTCTTGGAAGTGTATCTATCTATACATATGGGGCGCTACTTTTCTCACACACTGTGCTTGATACCATTACTGGATTGATTACTCACTTGTATTGGTACTACAAGAGACGAGAGACTGTTGACTGTAGTAGGTGTAGAATGGTAGCTGTCGAGAGTCTTGATGAAGGTCCTTCTGAAGCAGATTGTTCGAGTCTACTCCTGGACTGGGTGACTGAGATCTTTCTGGAGACAATTCCTGATTTGACTGCAGTTCCATCTGGCTATTGTTCACTGTAAAAAAAACAAAAACAAAAACGTAACTTTTATTAGTAGTTCTCCATTGGATAAGAACACGTTTATTAATTATTGACTACCATCACGAGTACCAGAAACAGGCCTTGATTTGTATCTGGTACTTTCTGAATGTGAACTTTCGGACACTTTAAATCAGGACTATACATAAACCGACCCACATATGATTAAGTTTATTGCTGTAATACTGATGAGACATTCACTCCGGACGTATTGGTTGATATAAATTTTCAATATGGCGAACACGTGTAAGTTATCAACGAAAGTACCAATTTCACAATCTTCTTTAAGACTCCAGAGATACATTATGTATTAAAGATGAATTCATTGTTAATTGTGAAAACAGCTCTTGTCTGACATGATGGTTCATTAGTTTTGGAAAAGAATGATCCTTACTACTGTCAAGTTTCAGACATAAATACTCGTATGCTAAAAGGAATATGTCGACTTTGTGTGGACTTGTTTCTATATATTCAGATTTATTTCTTGTTGCTTTGTACAGTTTCACGTTCATTACTGTTAATTAGTTGTACTGGATGAACAAAGAAATAGCAAGATACTGGTTTCCACAGTAAGGCCTTCATATAATAATAATGATTAATGGGGGGAAATGTTATTTTCTCATTTGTGTACATATTTGTATTAGAAGCTTATTAAAATAGCATATTCCTGTCAAGTTTGAGTAACTCACATTATTTTTTTTTATACATCTAGCACTAACTGATCTGTAGAACAGAAGCGCATATATTTGCCAATGAACATCAAACAGAGTCGAGCACGGATAAGTTGTTAGCATGCTGGATTTGAGAAAACAAAAATAGCTCTCCGCATTTTGGGTCAGTGGGCACGTTACACGATCGAGAGATGATCAGATCCTACTGCTCGATTAAAGTGGCCGAAGAGTTAGCGATGGGCAGCGTTGACTAAGCTGCCTTTCTTCTAGTTTATCACTTCCAAGTTTGGGACGGCTAAAACAGATAGCTCTCGAATAGCTTTGCGCGAAAATTATCAATAAACACAGCAAACGTAATCAATTTTGCTAAAATTTGTGCAGTCCTCTCCTTGTTTCAACATCAAAAACAATCTACAAGAAATGTCCCTTACAAAATACTGTTCAACCCATCCTATCACAGGTTTGACTTAAATTCTTACGTTGGTGAAGTCGGATTTCCTTTGTTGATAATGGTTTGTTGCTTTTTTTTCTTTAATGTAAAAGTAGAAATGTTCCGCTTCATCACACATAACGAAGTTGTTTTTAATTATTACGTCTTCAATGTTTTCCAATGTACTAATGCATTATTGCAATTTTATTAACGATGAAGTAGAACAATTAGCAGTCAAAAAGTGCTTTGCGCAAACTGTGACGTTTCGATAGCATTTTGGTTTTATATCAGCTCTTCCAATATATTAGATAACAACTTGTTTTGCCGATAGCTAGATAACGCCATTGTTTAAACAATCAAAAAACTACACAAAACGATGTAACTGCGTGATCTTTTACCCAACAATTTAGCTTCCTATTGACTAAATAGACAAATGAATTGTGTAAAAGATTTAGATACATCCTGTTAAAAACTTAAGAGAGTAACGCATTATATGTAGATATAAGATGACTTACAGGGAATACAGATGTAGCTCTGACGTAGCTTTAAGTTATGCAAAATTCCCAAGGGCACAGGAACTAGAAGTGCTGTGGGTGCGGTAGGCTGCACTACTTGGCCTGAAGTAAGGAGGTGCTGCGCAAATATTGTTAGCGTTAGAAAAACAGTCTTGATTTACACTATTTGGATTCTATATTGCATGTTTGTCGATACTTCACACAAAGCTATGAGTGCAAATAGTTGTTTTTGTAAGATATAAATTTGTACTGTTAGTCTTGCAGTGCCGTTGCATAAAATTTACATGTTGTTTACCGTGTGAAAATATGGCGTAAGCTACTTCAGAAAAAGTCTGTTTTTAATATTGAAGTTTAAATAACTTGTAGTGTTGGGTAGCTTAATTTAGTCTTCTTTCAACGTTGTATTACAATTCTATTGTAAACCGGCTGCGTGGCTTAGTGTCGGATTATGGATCTGATGATCCAATTTTAGCTTCCCGTTAGCGCAAAAAACAACATCGGATTCCGCACTATAAGGATAACGACCAAATATTCCTATTTGGTCAGGCAAAATTAGTCCAAAAGATGGGTGTGAGTGGTGTTGACTAATTACCGTCCCTCAAGTCCATCCTTTAAAAATCAGAGATGGCCTTGAGTTGCTTTGAACGAATATCCGAAAAAAACAAAGGAACCGTAGTAAGGCATTGTGGGAAGGAATATGGTTCAAGCACTATAGTGAAATTAGTATTGTTGCGTCATCGAGTCGCATGACTACTGTGACGCAACGTTTCTAGAACTATCATGTACTTTGGCGAATGCTCTAGTGTTTGCTAGATGGGGTAGGCGGATATATATAAGAGGGGAAAACGTGACGCGAGAGATTATTGTAATGTGTGGGTAGATAGTGA